TATATATATATATATATATATATATATATATATATATATATATATATATATATATATATATGTATATAAACTCCGTCGATTGCAAACGTGAATTGAATAAGAAAGCTGAATATATATGCAAACCACCAGATACGCAATCGTGGAGCAACAGGCCTCAGAAGCAAAAGATGTAAGCGAATAAATATATTTAATATTTTTTATATTAAAATATATATAAAATATATATATAAAATACTCAATTAGTATGTCGTTCGTCTGCGGGATTCACTCTGCGTCCTCGAAGCAAAGCTCATGGCTAAGAAAGCTGAACTCCTCGCCGTCACGAGCCGAAATAATGCAGTATGTCATCAGAAAACGTTTTTCTTTGTAATATTTTTTTATTTATTTAAATATTTATTTGTTTTTCTTTTTTTTAATCATCAGGCGGAGAAATATACCCTTGCATCGGCCACCAGGTCTCTTATGAACACTCAACCACAACCGACAAAGGAATGCAGGACTGCCGGCAGCAGTCTCACGCCCCATCTGAACATAAACTTGAAATAAAAACTCAAATTTTGTTTTCTTTTTCTTTTTAATTTCTTCTTTGCGGATATATCTTTTCCCCCAGCAAGCGATACGTCGGCGGCGGGTCGCCGCCGTCTTGCAGTGAATGCTGGGGGGCCCCACAGCAGCCCTCCTGGCCTTAGCCGACGATTGGACCTGAATGCTGTTGTTTTATTATTTAATAAGAGTTTAAATATAAATATTTTATTATATTTTCTGAAATTTAATTGAACTGATATGTGATTCCTGAGGTCTTCGCTTTCTTTACCCTCAGCCCGGGGGCACCCCTCAAACCCTCACCCATCCTCACACCTGCTGCCGCAGCTCTGGGGGTTTTTGCTGATCTAACAAGAAGATGTATTTCTCTTTAAAGTGTTTACAGAAGATGCCATCAAGCAGCCAGCGATGACAACGCAAACACTCAAGGGCCCTCCCCTGGGGCCCCCTGGGTGGCCGGCTCAGCTGCTGCTGTTGCTGCTGCTGCTGCTGCTGCTGCTGCTGCCTCCTTCTCTCCTCCGTATTAGCGGCGTGATGGTGCTAGACTGGTTGCTTACTGCTTCTTCTCTTTCTGCATTTGTTTGTATAGCTGGGGGGGTGCATGCGCCCCTGCCGAGCCGCCTGAGGGCCCCCCCGATGCTGTTTAGTTTGTTTTTGTTGTGTTGCTGTTGTTGTTTCTGTTCTCTATCGGGGGAGCAGTATGCCTCTGCCCTCGTTGTGCGTCAGCAGGGGCCCCTCGATAGCGGCTGCATGGGCCCCTGTGCTTCCTCATCGGGGGCCCCCCGCAGCAGCAGACCCTTTGGGGGTTTCTTGCTGCACCGTGCTGCTGCAGCAGCAGCCAGGAATTCTCCACTATCACCCCGCGTTACAGCTCGCTCGTTCCCTCTGCAGCAGCACTCACCCTCCCCCTCACCCTCATCAGCACCAGCAGCAGCAGCAGCAGCAGCAGGAGCAGCAGGAGCAGCAGGAGGAGGAGAAACAACAGCAACAGCAGCAGGGGGTGTTGTATGTGGTGGTGATGGTGTATCTTTGGATAGATTTCGTAATATAGGTATAATGGCACATATAGATGCAGGCAAAACAACAACAAGTGAGAGAATATTATATTTTACGGGTGTTTCACATAAAATAGGAGAAGTACATAATGGTGAGGCTACTATGGATTGGATGGAGCAAGAAAGAGAGAGAGGAATAACAATAACAGCAGCAGCAACAACATGTTATTGGTCTGGTTCGAGTAACACACTACAACCCCACCGTATAAATTTAATAGATACACCAGGACATGTAGACTTTACTGCAGAAGTAGAGAGATCTTTACGTATACTCGATGGTGCTGTTGCTGTATTTGATGCTGTTTCTGGTGTTGAACCACAAACTGAAACTGTATGGATACAAGGAAATAAATATAATATTCCTCGCTTAGCTTATATAAATAAAATGGATAGATTAGGCGCAGATTTCTTCGGGTGTATGCAACAAATAAAAAATAAACTAGGCGGTGATCCGGTGCCTATACAGCTGCCTTTTGGTGCAGAAGCAGGATTTAATGGAGTTATTGATTTAATATATAATAAACTTTTTATTTTTGATGAAATATATGAAAAAAATAAACAAAAAAAAAAAAACTTTCACATACACCCCGTACCGATTGAACTGAAACACGATGTAGATAAGTGGCGAGGTGACCTTATAGCGAGAGCAGCAGAAGCAACAGAAGAATTATTAAATAAATATATAAATGAAGAAACATTAAATACAGAAGATATTATAAAAGGAATACGCATACAAACTATACATGCTGGGCTCGTGCCCATGCTCTGCGGCAGCTCCCTAAAGAACAAAGGCGTACAGCCCCTCCTCGATGCTATTGTACACTTCTTACCTTCTCCCCTAGACAAACCCCCAGTGCATGCATTGCTCCACACCACCAAAACCAGCAGCAGCACCAGCAGCA